TTTATCAACCTGGAAAGAGGACTTGTTTTTCTGCACGATGTTGTTTTGCTTATAAAAATATAAGTTTCTTTCAGTTTTTACCACAGTTAGGCAGTGATATAGGATAAAGATTTCCAAGTATTTGGATACCTATTTGGATACCTATTCAATATCCCCCTTACAACCAGGCCTTTTTATTATGGAATCATGTTTCCAGATGTGCTGGTTTTGGCTGGGATGGAGTTAATTTTCTTCATAGCAGCTATTATAGGACTGTTACACTGATCAGGGCTTACACAGCATCAAAACCTGTTCTCCTCACCCCACCCCACCAGTGAGGAGTTTGGGAATGCACGAGTAGTTGGGAGGGGACACAGGCAGGACAAAAGACCCCAGCTGGCCCAAGGGATATCCCAGACCACAGACCATGATGCTCAGCATACAGAGTTGGGGAAAGAAGAATGATGGGGGGGACATTTGGAGCAAAGGCTGTTTGTCATCCTGTCACTGTTACATGTGATGGAGCCCTGCTTTCCTGGGAATGGCTGAACACCTGCCTGACATGGGAAGTGGTGAATGAATTCCTTTTTTTGCTTTGCTTCCATGTGTGCCTTTTGCTTTACCTATTAACTCTTTTATATCAACTCACCAATTTTCTCACTTTGACCCTTCTGATTCTCTCCCACGTGGCATTGGTGGGCAGTGAGTGAGAGGCTGTGCGGGGCTTTTATGCTGGCTGGGGTTAAACCGTGACACTGGGATAAAATTAAAACAGAATCAGTGCATGATAGCAATTGCTGGAAGCATACACATTCAAATGTTCATGAATGCAGGCACACACTCTTGAGCAAATTGAATTGCTCTTCACAGTTTGAAATAGATTAATATATTCTTCTGTTTTTAAAATTCTTTCTAGGATTTGTGGAGAAAGTTATAAAACAAGGCCTTTGGGAGAAGGATAATTACAGAGTTCAAAGCTAAATAAATAGATGTTAACAGCATCTTTTTATTCTCAGGCTCAGTCTCTTTCTAGAGGCTGTATTTATGGGACAAAAAGTATCTGTTTTCTTTAGTATTGATTGTTTTGCATTTACTGCCTGGAGCAATCCATAGCTTCTTGACACTACTCACCATTTCTGATGAATTCAGAAAACTGAAAAAAATTACCTGAAAGTTTGACTTTGTTTATCCTGCACTACCTAGTCTGAAGAAATGTGTTGTTGGAGTACATGATCTGAACAAGAATTCAAACATTATTAAAACGAGACTTTTAGGGGAAAACTCAAGGCACCAAAAGTGAGGGTATAGGTACATAACTTTCTGTGATTCTGATGGCCTGTTCTCAAGTAGAAACACTTCTGAAGGCACCAGAAAAGGGAGAAAAAGCTAAAATATCATTGTGGATCCCATGTTCCATCTGTGACTGAGCAGAGCCCAGGAGTGTTAATTGTGAGGTGCTGACTTTACCAGTTAAGTAATGATATCTGAACACAGGTAAATACTGTAATTCAAAGGTGAGTGAGTGCCAAAACCCAAGTGAGCACCCACCATTTTGAGTCTCAGGTGAAAGGAAAGGATAATTGTGAAGCAGTGAGTCAGACATGGCCTGGTGCCCACATATAGGGTGGATTTAGGATGCTCCTCAGTCAGTGCCCAGGCAAGTTAATTTACTTATTCCCATATACAGGTAAAAGGGAGATATCAATATTAGATATCAATAACTGGCTGATTTTCAGAAAAAATTGAATGCTGCACCACCATTCCCTTTCTCCATACCATACTAATTTTATCTGTCTTTGGTTATTTTTAACTTTTGAGTCGCTTATTGATATGAACTCTATGTGAACTTCAAGTCTCCAGTTTCCTGAAGTCTTGGCATGGCTCAGCATAAGACATTTTTCCTTCAAGTTACTAAGTAAGTACAGTTTAAACAGTGCTTAATTGCCAATGATGAGATTGACATGATGGTCTGACTGTGCCATATAGCAATTTTTGATAGAGATTTGTGAGTCCTTCACTATGACTTTGCTTCAGTAAGGAGGCAAGAGCTGGAAATTACTGTTACTTGAACACACGGTAAAGAAGACACCAGAGTCAGAAAAGCTTTTGCATACCTAAAGCAGGATTCAAACATCTTAAACATGCCATTTAACCTGCAGCTTTACCTTGAAAAAGACTAGTTTAGAAATTTACCTGACTTATTTCAACATATTCCTCTAAGCATAACTAGTGCTGTGCAAAATTTTGTGTGCCCCACCGGTTACAGCTTAGTTTCCTGTAGCTCTCTCCTGTTTGATTTCTCTAGTGCACAATTAGATAACTACTTTCACATTTTGTCCTTAGCCAAAGGGAGGATGGAGAACAATAATTTGGATTTCTCTCTCTGAGGCCTCCAGACATCTCTCAGGTTTGACTAAAATTAGCTAGTAGGCTCAAAAATTACTATGGTTGGTTGGGAAAAAAGCCTGGCAGAGGAACAGGTGGGCAGGTAGACAGACAACTGCATCTGCAGATGGGTATGGAAGCCACACAGTCCTTGTCAGCAGCCAACTAGAGAAATGAGTGATAACTCATAAACTCATAAATGAGTTACTTAAAGAGGTTAGACCTAATTTAATTAAATTAAACAGCTCAGTGAGAGATTCACACTCTCTGTTCAGACAAATGAAAGTCATAGCTACAGTTACAGTCATTGTTTGTTGGGTTTTTTGTTGTTGTTGTTTGGTTTGGATTTTTTTTTGTGTGTGGGTGGTTTTTTTATTCTTTTTGTTTTTGGTTTTTGGATTTTTTTTTGGTTCATTTTTGTTTTTTTGCTGCTCTCTTTTGTTGTTGTTGGTTTGGTTTAGTTTTTGGCTTTGGAACGAGTGCTAAGAATTTTTAATCATCCAGCTAAAAATCCGTTGTCATGAAATACATTAATAATGTGCCCATAATGAAAAAAAGAATTCTATGAATGCAAGAAATCCTTACAATTATGGCTCTTCTGTTCACATAGATACTGCAGGAAGAATTCTAATTAAATAATTGTCCAACTTACTTCAAAACTGACGAAGTGGGTCCTGGAAGTTGATTACAGTAGAAGGGCAGACCACCATCTTTGGGTGTGCACATAATGAACAAGTCCTTCAACAAATAGGCTTACAGCATGATAAACTTACCAACACTGATAAACATATGAACTGTAATCTCAGGTTACATGCTTTTGTTTCTATTTTATTATACCATCAGAGAAATGACAATAATATTTTTTGCTCGGTTCTAGTTCAGTCTCAAGAGTTCTAGTTCACCAGTCACTCATTCTCAGTAACAAGTAAGCATTCTCATCACACAGGCAGTGAAACACTACAGCAGAGCAAGGAGACTATGCAATCCCTTCACAGAAAATTCTTACTACTAGGCGAATACTAGTCTGTCTAGGTGAAGGAGTGATCTAACCATATTCAATCCCACTTCAGTCCAGATAGCTGGAGTAAATTATCTCCTGTAGTCCTTCCCAGGTCTTTATTTTTATAGTCTTATGTTTAATTCTTTATTCCCTATGAATTTTGCACTACATTATCTTTTAACTCCAAAATAATATTTTACTTTTATTTCGAAAACAAAGTGTGTGAGAGGAGAGATTCTTTACCTAGGAAAGTTTTAACTGTACAGAAATTTTTAGTGCATTTTCCATTATTTAATTTGACAGTTAAATTGCAATGTTAGCAGAACAAAATTGGAAATCAGAAAATTAACTTTACAGTTTCCAAACTGTTCTTCCATATTGCAAAATGAACAAAACCAGACTTTATTTTATTTCTCCTCAGTTCACTGGAGACACAAGAAAAATAGAGCACTACAGCAAGAATAAAAAGTATCTTTACAAGTGTTCCCAACTTTTTCCTGCTCTGCTGCCTCTGAAAAGGCCTCTGAGTTTAAATAGTTCTATGGTATGCTCGAAAGTGAGATTTGGGGAATATCCAGCAATTAACTTTTCCAACAAACTGTTAGAAAAGTGCCAAAAAGATCTCAAGAATGATTGCTGTAAACAATCTCAGGCTACTGTTGAAAAGCAGTTGGACTAAGTTTTTAAGATTTGACTAGAAATTTGTTTGATGTGGAGCCATTTAAGAAGTTGAATCACACCAGCAGCCTCAAGTTCTGACATTCTTGAGGCTAAAGCTGAAATACAAATATTTTGGTGATTGTGCATGAATAACAAAGGGTGAACGTTAAAGGACTAGGATGAATTTAAATGACAAATGTAATCAAATGTAACACTTTTTACAGTTTTAGAGCATTGTGAAGAGGCTTTGCTATGAAAGAAAACCAGACAACCACACGACTTGTAGAGTCTTCTTGTTTTTATTTTTAAAATTCTTATATCACCCACAACTGTTTATTAAACTATTTTCCTTATTTAACTATCCCCTTTCTTCAGATTTCAGCCTGCTGGTTACAAATAGATTCTACTATCTTTTATGTGGGTGTAAATTTAATTGTCACTGGAATAATTGCTTAAAAACTTGATCTACTAAATTTTATAAGGGAATCAGTTAGCTCATGAGGAGTTGCAGCTGCACCTGCAAATGGGTGAGGTCTGTTATGTCTCCAAAGAAACTCAGTATGTCACAGAATGAGGTCTTTTTTGTAAAGATGTAAAAAGCACAGTTGCCTGTCTCAAACATTGTCAAGGCCACAGAAGAAACTTTCCACAAGCCAAGCCACCACAGGAGGAACTTAAGCACAGAGGGAGGAATTTGTGACAGGAAGGCTCTAATTCTAGGCCTGGTAGAGGTGAGACCTGGTTAGCACATCCTGATTAACACATCCAGACAAAAATTCCCACTTTGGCAAACTGTGGGAAAGGAAGTAACTTTTGTCGTTTAATTTGATGTTTATACACATAATTCCAAGGCATGAGATTGGCATCTGCCACCACCCCATGGATACCCGGAACCTGGACTGTGTAAAACTCCTTGTAAAACTCCAAGACCACCACCACCAGCAGGAAGCCCAGAGTGAAGAAAGACCAATGGGATATCACTGGATCCACAGCTGGTGACTCTCTGTTGTTTGATTTCTCTCTCCCCTCCTCCCCTTTTATATTTCCTTCTATATCTCTACCTCACATTCACTATTAAATAAAATCTGTACAGTTGACTTCAAGACATGGTCTCTTTTGCAACTTAATTTGGGCAGAGGCATCTCTCACTAATCAGATCTTAATGTTTGTACATACAAAAAATCTGACCTATTAGGATTTGGGATTTTTTTTTGTTTTAAGAAAAAATAGTGTATGTATTTGACATATTATTAAAACTATAATTAATTTTTATTTGTGCAGCTGGGACAGCTATGACAGGATGACCTTCAAGAAATTGATTCATCCTGTAGGTAGTGAGTATATTTTATTTCTATTAAACTGAAACTATATTCCAGATTATTACCTGCTGTAAAGTAATTCCTAGTGAGTGACTAGCTATGACTTCCACTCTCTGATATCCATTCTGTGGTTACAAGATAAATATTTTCAGATTGTAAGATCAACAAACTTCAACTATAAGCTCTGGAAATGATAACTTCTTTTCTTGTGTTTTCTCCTTTTTATACTTCTTAAAATCTAGAAATGTGTTAGTAAAACTTTTGTGAGGGTCCTAATACAGCTCAAATATGTACCTAAAACTGAAACAGTATTGATGTTTACTACTTGTTGTTGTTTGGGCTGATAAAGCAGGAACTCCCAGCTTAGTTTACTCATTGTATTTATAGATGAAACAAAATATGTGATAGAAATATTTAATCTAGACTCCTATATGAAGAGAATAAAAAAATAGTGAGGGTTTTTTTTAGTATTATTGTGATCTGTTAGCTATATAAAATCCTTTAGCTTTTCAGGCTTTGTATCTCATCTGAAGGGCTTGTGATTAAGAAACAACACACTTGGTTGTTAACTGTTTGGTGTGGAAAGCATTCTGATCTTTGGTATTAAATGATGTCCTCATTTAGAAGCAATTTGCAGTATATAACAGCAGTGTAAAAAGGACCAGAACAAAACCATATTTGCCCTTGAGTGTAATAAATATTTAAACAGTTGAATGCATTCGTTGCTCTGTATTCAAGTGCCACTCATCCTTATTAGCTGACCTTTTCATGTTAGAACCTCTTCATGTTTTTCTTGACCATAAAGGTTTTGGGGAATCGTCTCACCAATCTTGACATCTAAACCAGAATTCATCTAACACACCTGACACAATTGGCACCCTCTGTAAGGAGATGAACATGGTCTCCATCTAGCATTGTAGAGGGATAAATGGAAATCAAGTTTATAACTCTAGCATAGGTACTTGATACATGTTTGATGAAATGATCCTTGGAAGTGACTGTCTACCCTAGATGATTACTTGAGAGAGAAGGGATAACTCCTAGTTTAGATAAATCTTACTTATATTCCTAGTTATATATTTTTTGTGTGTTCTTCAGAAGTATTTTGTCTCCTTCACACATTCCTTAAATAGCCTCTCTATATAAACTCTTGGCAAAGCATTGACTTTTTAAGATTTCAAGTTGTATTCTCTCAATCTTAAAACTTCATTTGCTTTCTCATTTTGTCCCTACCTTGAACTTAGAAAGGTTTCTAAGAGGCCTTGCATAAGCAAACAACTTCCTTTTTCAGAGTGAAACTCATCTATTAGGCCAAGAGAAAGACACAGCTATTAACCTGTCTTCCCTTTTTCCTCCAAACTCTCAGACAATTGGGAGTCAAATGTTCTTCAGCAAATAATTTGGAACTATATTATGCCTTCTCACAAAAGTCAGGCAGGAATAAGTAAAATGACATTCCAAATAAATTGAAAAAGCCTTAATGTATAATCAAAAGAAAAGCTTTTAAGTGGCGAGATAAGGAAAGTGGAAGGTTGGTATGCAGTTGAGAGAATTCTTGGGGATTATATATACTGCACATCAGAAATCTGCAATATTCTGACAACAGCCTTTTTAAGCCTGTGCTGAATATGACATCTCCATGGATTCCTATTATTATTTCTAATCCCAGATGATTTCACATACCAATTACACTTCAACACAATACGATCTGATTGTATCTCACAGTTATGTTGCTCTCATTTTGCCTATATGTCTGTAAATGCATAAGTGTAAAGCAAATTAGATGCTTAGCCTAGAATACTTTATTTCACTTAGTCCAAAATTAATCCATTTAAAATACTTTATATTGCATCTAACAGGAGAACTCCCTACTGAGTTCTACTATACTACCTGGGCTTGGGTATTATTAATTGAATATTATGCAAAAGGAAATAATTTAAACTTGTCACCTCAACAAAGGTGTCTTCAAAAGGACTTTCATAAGCTCTTGTAACAGCAAAAACTGCTCCAAGTTGCATTTACTTCATATGTTTTGCTATTTCCTTCTGGAATATTCTTCTTGTAATATTTCTTTTCAGCTCTGTCTTTTTTTGCCAGATTTTTTTTGCCAGGGAATTCCAGCCATCAAGTTTATCAATATACTGTTCAATCACTGAATGAAATACTATGCATACCAGAAATTGACCCAGAAAACAGTCCAAGAGAAAAAAAAATAGAAAAAAACAGGGAGTACAGAATCATAGAGTAATAGAATCATTAAGGTTAGAACAGACCTCTAAGATCACCAGGTCCAACCGTCAGCCCAGTACCACCACCATGTTCACCACTAACCCATGTCTTAAGTGCTATAACAACACATTCTTTGAACACTTTCAGGTATCGTGAGTCCCTCACTTCCCTGAGCAGCCTATTCCAATGTTTTACAACCTTTTCCATGACGAAATATTTCATAATATTCAACCTAAACCTACCCTGACGCAACTTGAGGCCCCTTCCTCTCATCCTGTCTCTCATTACCTGGCAGAAGAAACTGACCTCCACTAAGCTACAATCTGCTTTCAGGTAGTTGTAGAGTGCTATAAGATCTCCCTTGAGCCTCCTTTTCTCCAGATTAAACATCTTCAGCTATTTCAGCTACTCCTCATCAGACTTGTGTTCCAGACCCTTCACCAGCTATGTTGCACTTCTTTCAACACGCTCCAGCACCCCAATGTCTTTCCTGAATTGAGAGACCCAAAACTGAACACAGGATTAGAGGTGTGGCCTCACCAGTGCCAAGTACGGAGGAGCAATGACTTCCCTGGTCCTGCTGACCACACTATTCCTGATACAGCCAGGATGCCATTGGCCCTTTTGGCCGTCTGGGCACACACACTGGCTCATGTTCAGAAAAGGATCCAGGGGCCCTTTTTGTCTGGGCAGCTTTCCAGCCACTCTGCCCCCAGACGGTACCACTTCATGGGGTTGTTGTGATCCAAATGCAGGACCTGACACTTGTCCTTGTTGCACCTTTGCCCATCCAAACAGCCTGCCAAGATTTCTCTACAGAGTCTTCTGACTCTATCGACTGTTTTTGTTTACTTACAGTATTCAGTTCCAAAAGACGGTTGCTATTTCAGCGCCTAGGTTTTGAATATTTTATTCTACTTTCATTTCTGACAAGTGAAGTGGAATCCCAACTCCTTGGTCAAGAAAATTATTTTAAGTTCTTTTTTTCTTAGGTGTTGTTAAAAGCATACATTTTTTGTACTGTCAGGAGAGTAACAAAATTCATATGCTCTGAATTTGGTTTCTAACTCTAACTTGGTACACCTTTGAAAGCACGTATTCTGACATGAATAACATGGGTCATAGAACTTAACAAGTGAGTGAGGTATAAAATCCATTGCTACTTCTTTCTGGCCTGCTACTTTTATTATTCTGTACTTTTATCAGTGCAAAATGCCCAGCTTCAACATTCTGACTGAGCAAATCTTTTAAAGATACATTTACTTTTTCTTGAAATATTTCAAAACTATGTTTTCAGGATGACATATGGGATTTCTCTAACAATTTCAGTAATAACTCTAAGCCCTGTTTAATGAAACCACGTAGGGAAGCAAAGGAGTCCCTTTAAGTTTCTTTTTGTTGTTGATAATAATAAAAACCAGACTTTGAAACAAATTGTCAACTGAGCAGAATACAGTTTTCCATTACCTTCATTTATATTTCCTTGGCCTTTCAACCTAAATTTAACTTGTTTATTCTCAGGATAAATTACTTACACTTTATTTTAAATGAGGACATTCAGATGAATGATATTACATTTTAATAACACAATAGATTCAAAAAATAAATGATTGTGATAGAAAAAGCAATTCATCCTCATAAAGAGTGGTACTCTCTGTAGTATACCTCATCTCATCAATCGTTAGTAAACAAATGTTCATATGCTTTGTTAAGATTCTGTCATGTCTGTGTTCCTAATTATTTATAGAACTTAGATCTGGCTCTCCTTCAGATAGCTGAGATGTGGAAAGTATAACTCTTTGCTGGGATTTACACATTGTTACCTCCTCTGACAGTTGGTAGGGATCCTTAAATATGATAAACGTTGAAACAGATATTTTGCTCTTAGTTAAGGAAGAAAAGGCAGAAGCTACAAGATTTGAATCTGAACTTTGATTATATGCAGATAATTACATGTGGGGTTCAGCTTTCAAAATCATACAGAGCTCATGCTTTTACAGATAGCTATCTAGTTTTGGCACTGTATTATCTGACTGAAGTGGAGAACTATCTGTTTTAGCATACATTTTAATATGCAAAGATAATGAGTCCAGTTTCCTGTGATTCCAGGATCTGTGAAAACTATTTGGCACTGAACGACATCACCAAGAACTCTGAAAAGATGCGTGACTGCAAGAGCCACACTTATCTGTGGCTGGCCCTGTTTGAAGCTTGGGATTTTGAAGGATATCTGCAATCTTCCTGTGGTGGAGAATTGTTACCCATATATACTAAGTTTCTAAACATAACAGTAAAGTAAAACTCAAACAATAGTTATTGTCCTTGTCCCTCTATGTTGATCTCTATATGACCTATTAGAAATTCATAGTTCATTCATATAGTTCACATCTATAAGAAAACTGGCAGTAAAATATTCATTTAAATGTAATAAAGACTTTATTTGAAAGGTTGCAAATATATCTGCTACTGTCTTACATATGTAGGTGCATCAATGGGGACAATTTGTCCTATATACACACAAAATTATGACACACCAGCTAATGCTTTTTTACATGGCCACTCTATTGGCTTTGTTTGGATTTTTTTTTTTGCAGTACCTCTTTCAATGCACTAAAATTTGTTTGCAAATTTTTTCCTGTGATATCTTCTGATTTTAGGATCATCAAGTTCAGAAAGGAGATGCAAAGCATATTCAAAATGTTTTTTGGAGTCTCATTCCTTTTTTTTCTCACTAAAATTCAACACAGGCCAATTTTACATTGTACCATATGGTCATTTATGTCAGTGTGAACACCGACTTTTCATACAGTAGCTGGTGCTGATGCTTTGCTTCTGTAACCTTTCAAAAGGATCTTCTTTAGAAAACTAATTAACCTCAGGATTTTTAATGTGCATGCAGTTTGCATCTTCCATTACAAAGGCATTCAAGCCTGAAAACTGATTTCAGACTCAATGATATGCAGCAAAAAACTGCAACACTTCTTTGATTGTTTATACATAAAATTCTAGACAATGTTCTTTATGAAGCATACTTTAGTCTCTTGACTAATACATGAATTAGGGCTTCAATAATAAATCATTCTTGTGAATCACATTTATCTGTAACGTCACATTTGTTCTCTGAAAGTCTATGATGATTAGTGGATATGGCATGTAAAAGCAACAAACAATAGTACTTATTTTATCATCCAACCTATGAGCTATGCTTTAATCATAGCTCATAATGAATAGAGCTTTAGAGTTCTACCGGTTGTGAGCAGTTCCTTTTCTGAGTGGTGCGAAAGGTTAGCTTTTCACAAATTACTTTTTAAGCCTACCTATATTATTTTTGTGACTTCACATTTAAAGATAATTCTGTTGTCTCCATTGCTCATGACTATAAGGTATTATTAACAGAGTGTTTTGATGATGATCCCTGAGAAACAAATTGGGTTTTGGCCATGTCATAAGTGCGGGTGTTCACAGCATTACGTTGCCATTACAATTAACAACCCTTCTGGCATACGTAAAAGAAAGGTTCTCAAGCAGAACAATAATAAGTAATGAATAATCTAAACCAGAGTTGCATGGGCATGCAAACTGAGCTACATTTTAGGCCTGAAAATAAATTTCCCCATTATTAGAATGAGTCATCTTGGTGAATCAAAATGGAGAACTGTATTGTTGCAACTCTAGTGTAGTATTTTTTTCTGTAGTAATTGTAAAGCTCTTTTGCCATTCTTGTTCATTCCTAGCACTTTACATAAATTTCAAGCTCATTTACCAAGACTAAAAGCTCTATGACTCTTGATAATAACCACTTTGTTCTATAGTTAATAGAAGACCAGTTCCTCCTCTGACTCCACTCTGAAATGGCCTGAAGCACTGCTATAACACATGCATTTTTCTTCTCAGATGGCATATATAATATGTAGCATCTGTGAAATGCTCTTTTCTGGATAACAAGGTTCTGTTTTGGAGTACATTGTGTTTGTATCCTGAAGGCTATTTGTATTATTTCAGCTTTATGAGTGTCTATTGCCCTTTGTGAGACAGGTTTTTCTCAGTGGTGGCCAGAGAAGGACCAGAAGCAATAGGCAGAACCTGAAACATGGGAGATTCTGTCTGGTCATCAGGAAACACTTTTTCACTTTTTCACCACTGTGTGGTGGAACACTGGCACAGGTACTCAGGGAGGTGGTGGAGTCTCTATGCTTGGAGGTACTCAAAATCTGTCTGGACACAGTCCTGGGTAACTGACTAACTGTCATACAACACATGGTATTGTCCCACTGAGATTTCAGTGTTTAAAGATGAGTGCTGACATTTAATTATGATAAAAATCATTGTTAAAAAATATTTTTAATAAATAAATAATAGTGTACCTCTCTAAAACTGTTTATGCTGTAGGATATCTCAGATTATTAAGATCACAGCAATGATTATTTTTCTTTAAGAAAAAGAATGACTGCTTCTACTATTATCTTCATTTTCAGTCACTTTCACTACTGATTTCATTTTGGAAAACCATGTATACAGCAATATGCTCTGCTTTTTCAAATGTTCTTGCTGTAAGCATATTTGTCCATAATGCTCTAGGTGCTCAGGTGTGTCATAGACTCTGGGGAAGACACTTAAAACGTTTTCTCCTACCTTTTTGTCAGCGACTCAATTGTTGTAGTGAATTCTGAGTTGTTTAGATTACAGGCTACAGTAGTATCAGTGTTTCTGTCCAGTTTCCCACCGTATGTACTGATTCCCCACCATGACTGAGCACTACAGCTGAGCAAAAAATGGGTATGAATGTCAGTACAAATGCCCAGAGATGTTTGGACCAATGATCGTTACTGCACAAAGACTGAAAATGATTTAAGGTTCTGGCCCATGGCTTAGAAATTTGCATTTTTTGAGCAACTGATTGGGACAGTTCTCTCTTCATATTGGGGGGCCTTTACCTTTAAAAAACTCATACTGCAAACTAATGTCTTTTATGACCTCAGGCATGAAAAAACCCACATTCTCGAAGTAGTTTATTAGCATACTCTGGTAGTATCAAGGTAATCACTGTGAGGTAATGAAAAGGTTTTGTCCTAGGGGAACTTAAAAAAATCTCATTCCAGTAAGACACAGCAATAGTGTGGATCGATCTATTTAGTTAAACTGTAAGTAGCCTAAGACTTACTCATTGTTTTTAAACACTGAGAGAAAATACCAAGAAGCTGATTAAAAAGTGACTTCTATAGGTAGAAAAGTGAATTTTCATTCTGTAGAACTGGTAAAGTTGGATTCATATGGATAATTTGATAGGTTTTATACTGAGATTATTATCAGGGAATAATTTTGCAGTCATAGTCCATGTTTTGTTTGTTATGATAATTTTTTTTTTAGAGAGTATGTTGTTGGGTTTTTTGTTTGTTTGCTTGTTTATTCTATTTTTTCTTTTCCCTGTATATTTTTTCTACCTAAAAAGAAAATGATCTAACATATAATTCACTGAGCATGAACCTCTTTGATCCACAGAATAAAAACTGAGGGTAGCTCAAACCTCCTGTATGTCAGGTATCTCAGATCTGAAAGATTAAGAGAATGACACCACTGCTGGAAAATTAATTTTTCTTTCATTAAGTGAATGCATTGCACTGTAGATTAGAGTTTACATCCCTTTAAAGGAGTGAAGAAATCACTGTGTGGGAATAATTTTCATCAAGATCCTACTTGGTGGTATTAAATGTTTTTAATGCTGGACTGTCGTGAATTTAATGGGCCTTGCTATGTGTTGTCAGAAGATATTAATATCATAATGATAATGGGATCTAATAACCTAAATAATTTTGTTGGAGAGATTGAACATAAGATTTTTTTGTTTGGTTTGGTTTTCTTTTTTCAATTCAAGTTATAGTAAATTTAAACACCTGAGTCTGGGCAATTCAACCCTACAGTACTTATAGACTTTTTCTTTGGACAAGAATTGAGATTTTGAGAAATTTTAAGTCCTGCAAAGGTTAGAGATTACAGTTTCTTAAGTATTTAATAATTCTACCCAAAAAGAGCTGGAGAGTAGGTTCCATTTATAGTTAATGACTAATTACTGGCATTACCCACTTTGACAGTTTGAGAGACTTGTACATATAGGGCAAGAGTTCTTTGGTTCATTGTCTGCTTAGATCACCTTATACAGCCATTTCTGAATGAATTCTTCAATATAATTCTTAAAAGACATAGCAGATGGGTTAACTGAGCAAGTTTTAATAATAATTGAAATTAAATGAATAGCATTATGGTATTTAGATTAGATTTAGTTTGTATAAAATATTTCTTACTGATGAGAACTGTCAACTTGAGAGTATTACATATTCAGTGTAAATTAAAAAATTGACAGTAACGGTTTATTGACAAAATAAATTTCAATTAGCAAGTACTAAATATCTGCCCCTAATTAGAAAAGGGCAAGGTTGTTAGAGATAAATTTTGAAAATGTTTATATGAGGCTGTTATGTTTATTGTCAACCATTTATTTTGTTTACAAGGCAGTTCACACAAAGCTAAAAAAAGTGTGGTCACACATCAGTTTATCTGAAATGAACATAACCAGTTATTACAGAAATGACTCATCTTCCATATTTTTCTGTTTTCTTTCCTTTTTAAGATTTCTCATTAGGGCTCATTTTCTTCTAGTGGATCTCTCTTGGGTTACAGGGCAGTCAATACTTCATGGGAAGAATATCTGATTATTATTTTTCTACCTCTGGAACAATGCTTGCAAAGTTTAGATGCTGTGAAAATGTGGTTTTGATAAGGCATATCTTTTCTCCTTTCCTGTTGCATAATTCTTCATGAGCTTATTTTTTGTTTAAGACAGATTTTCCAGAAGAAGAGTATTTTTTGGTGAATGAGTTCTGACTGAAAAATATGTATTAGACAAAAGCAGAACTCCAAAACTTAGGGTAGACATCATGTTTGCTCCCATTACTAAAGCAAGAACTCTTCTGATAATAAGTAAAGGAAGCAGAAGAAGGTTCCAGAGGGCCTTCAAAACGAATGGAAACAAAAAAAAGTGACAAGACTTTTTTTTTTAACCCACTAACAAGAGGAGGAGAAAAAGGGCTAGGACGCAGTACACAGGGCTGAGTTCAAGAGAATCAAACAAGTATTTCCATG